CAGAGCCGGGCATATGGACATCTCGCGCTCCGCATCTGTGTCATCGGTCGCGTTTTCTGTGGATGCCTGCGTGTATGTAGTACGTGTGTGTGTTTGAGGCCGGGCGCTGGGAACAAACGTGCATCTGTTAAATTTGACAATAAAGTCCTACGGCGAAGCTGCCAAGATTGAGGCCGCGGGTAGGGGCAGAAGGCAGAGGGGGTGGGAGAGAGCTGGAGTCTCAAAAGGCGACGCCAAAGTGCCTGGCCCAGGTATTATGTCGGGAGAAGGTGAGGAGAGCAGCTGCTGCTTCTCGCGGGGTGTGTATGGGAGCGAGAGTGCGTGCATCCCTGTGAAGAGTACACACCGATCTGCTCAACATATGTCGCCACAAATCACAGTATCTCTGCCCCCTCCCACCCCCTACTCCCTCCTGACTGAGGGCAGAGCAGAGAGAAGCGCTGAGAAGAGGCGCTGCTTCAACAGGTGTCTTGGTGCGCAATGCACCTTTTCACGCATTCACTGTCTCTGTCGGCGGCGAGGATAATGTGGACACTTTGTTTCCAGGCGCTGCGCACGAGCTCTGGAAGCCCGGGGGGAGGCGGCCCTGGGCAGGGAGGGGGATCTGGAAATAAAGACCTCGGGCCCTCTGGAGGTCCCCGGCCCTCTCTTCCCTTTGTTCGAGGACTCCCTGGGCCAGAGCTCCCTTGTGCGCCCTCGGGGGTGGCATATGGCGCCCTCTCACCTACCCAAGAAAAAGAACCAGTCACCCATTCAAGAGCGCACGAGGTCCCTGAGCCTGGGGAGGGGGAATCTCTGAGGGAATGGCTTCTCTCCCAAAGCAAATGAGGAACCGGCCTTATCTCTCCCCACCCCACCTCCGCCATCCCCCTCAGCTGGCGCAGCAGCCGTTGGGTGGGGAGCAGCGCACGGCAGAGCCAGCCTGCGGAAGCGCCCCAGCTCCCGGCAGATGAAATATGGGGCTGGTGAGCCCCTGGAGACCATATGCTTTCAATAAAAGAAGACAAATAGGACCGAGATAGGCCTTGCAGCCAACCTGTTATAAATGGGTGGCAATTGGGCCAATGTACACGGCCCCCGGGGGGAGGCCTGCTCGGTGCCAAATCCATGTGTCAGCTTCTGGGACAGGTGTGCCCAGGGGCCAGGGGCCAGGTCTCCCCACTCTGGGTTTATCACGGCAAAGGTAATATTGTGCTAACTATGAGTAAACAGTCATTGTGCAAACGAGGGAGAGTTTATCAGAGGCGAACTAGTTGGGGGGCGTCCTAACAATAAAGTTGCCCGCCTTGGGAGCAGGTGACGGCTGGCTGTGGGACTCCCGCGGTAGATGTTTTCCAAAGCACTCCACTTTACAATCTCTTGTAATTATTTATTAAACGAAATCTATTTATTATTATTTTAGCAAACACTGGAGACAGGTGGGGCTTTCTTTTCGTCGTCTCCTTTTGTTTGAAGGGCTGTTTGAAGTGGCCAGTCTCAGCCCGGGCAGCTCGCTCGCCAGATTTTTGTCTTCCCCTCTTTCACTGCCGAGGCAAAGGCGAGAGAAAGAAGCCCCGTCCTTTGGCAATCCATTAGCTATTCAGCCTCCTATGGCCCCCCTCCCTCCCTCTCCTTTCTCAAAGAGACCCCCGGCACTGCTAAGATTCCCCCCGCTGACAGGAAGGCGTCAAGGCAGACCGATGCCTTCCTTCTTTTCCAATCTGCCTGCGGTCTCCAGGCGTCAGGCTGTCGCCTCTCTCCTGGGCCCCCTCAGTCTCCAGACAAGCCTAGGTCTCAGAGATTCGAGGGGTGCAGGGGTCCTGGAAGCCTTAGAGGTGGTGGCTGGCCCAGAGCTTCACAAACAGTCTCTGCTCCCCGCTGGAAGAGTCGTTTCACAAATACCGCCAGCGCGCGCGCGCTGAGTTGTCACAGCCTGCGCCCCTGCCGCCAAAAGCACAGGAATTAACTTTGGAAAGGGGTCTGTGCATCCACTACAGCAGAGAGGGAGGGCATGGATCCTCGATCTCTACGTCCCCTGGATCCCCCAACCTCTAGCCCCACTGTCCTGGCCAGAAGTAGGGCTGCGGAGAATTCTCGCGTGCTGCAAGGAGACCGCTGCCCCGGCCACTGTGCGCTCCTCGCCCTGACTGTTTTTTGCGCAAAGCAGGAGTGGTGATGGCCTGCAAGTGCTGGAGAACCCTGAGCAGGAGGGGCTCTGGGGAAGCTGGATAAGAATTCCAAGCAGGTCTGAGAATTCTCTCCCAGTCAAGAAGGTTCCCAAGAATCCCCAGAACGTTCCTTGGTGCAGGAGGCTCGCCTTGCGGCTCTTGCTGGTACCCATTAGCGGCTTGAAGCAACCTGGAGCCCAGATGGGTCCGCCTTCACTTTTCATCTGAGGGCCACTGCTGAGTACAGTCCTGCTTGTGGGCTGCTCTTCACGCCTGCAGGGACCCACGGGGTGGGGCGCGGTTCTAATCCCATATGGCCAGGTTCCCTCCACGGAGCCGGGCTGGGTCCCAGAGCCCTAGGGAAGCATGCTTCAGGTTTCCTCTCCCAGTTCCTAATTCGCAGGATAGAAGTCAAGCAAGGCTGGGCTATGGGGCAGGAAAGTGGAGAGATGGAGCATGAGTGGACACTGGCTCCCCTTGGCACTGGGAGGCTGGCGCTATCCCTTGTCTCCTCAGACCCTGTCATTCCTCACAGATCCAGGACTTCTCCTATTTTCTACATTTTGGGGTGTTGTTTTTTGCCTTAAAAATATATATTCCCCCAAGCAAGGAGAGGCAGCAGGTGCAAGGGAGAATCTAGGACTAGGCATCTTAGGATCTGAGTTTTACGTGGTTCTGGTGAACTTGCTGTGTGATCTTGGGGAGTCACTTCCCTTTTCTGGGCCTTGAATTTTCCATCTGTAAAACAGGCCTCAGGTTCTCATTCTTATGACTAGAAGACAACTTTGGAGCAAGTTGTGACTTGCAGGGAAGAGGAACAGCAAAATGTAGAACCCAAGAATCTCGGTGGGGTCCCTTTGTTGCTCCTGGGCCTGGCCCTCAACTTCAGTTCCCAGAAGGCAAGGGAAGGAGGCTCTGCTAATCAGCCAGCAGCTGAAAGGGGGAGGACAGTGCCCCTATTCCCACACAGTCCTAGAGCCCCCTATCCCTGGCTCCCAAGCATAGCCATCCTCTCTCTGCCTTGGAGATAATTTCGCCCTCCAAGCAGCCTGGGCCGTGTCAAGAGGCTGTCACTAGGGCAGCTATGCAGACTTACCCCATCCCATTTCTTGGCCGGATCCTGCCCCCCTCCACCAGCTTCTGGGAGAGTCAGGGTTTCTGGATCTGCCAGAAAGTGAAGCGTTAGCCATCTACAGAGACTTAACCAGGGCCCCAGTCTTCCCTGCCTCAGCTTCCTCCCCCAGCACACGTGGCAGTCGCGGAAGCCCAGACCCCTCACCCTGTGTGACTGGAAGCAGAAGACCACCAGGTGTCTGAGGAGGGGACAAAAGGGAGGGGTGGGAGAAGAAAAGAGGGATGATGTGTTCAAACTCACTTTGGAAAGATTTCCAGACAGGCACTAACAGGGGCCTTGGAGAGTCCCTGCCCGGTTCTCATCACCTGAGCTCTGCCTAATACTGGGTCCAGGAGCCTGGACCAGGCAGTGCTGGCAGCTCCCGCCCACCTGTGACTGGACAGGAGGACTAAAGAGAAAGACAGTTGACCTGCTTCTTGCAGCACCAGCAATCAGTGGGCATTTAAAAGACACAAGGGCTGTGGTGAACTCCTGGCCCCCTCCTGACCTCTCCTCACCTGAGCTCTTCCTCTCCAGGCCCTGACTCGAATGCTAGGGTACTGTCCACGATTGGTAGGGGTGGAACGTCCCCTGGGAGTCCCACTGCAGCCACCCTCCCCCTCTGGGGCAGGATGCACACTTCTTAGGTTTCAGATGGGGGGTTCCGGAAGAGGTTCTAAGCGCTTCCAACTAAGGAGTGTGAGGTGTCCTCTCAGCACAGACTGGGGGCTCCTCACCCCAGGGGAAGATCTCTAAGTGGCAGGGACATAGTAGGATCTTTCTCTGTGGTCGCCTCATCCCCTTCTCAGAATGGAGAGGATCAGTGAAACATCACCCTGTGCGTGTTTCCTAACGTGACCCATAGTGCAGGAGAGCAGGGTGGCATGGAAACTTGACATTCCTCCAAGCTGGTCATCAGGACACCCAGCTCCTTGTGCTGTCTCTTGAGTGTGGTTTGGGGCAAGCCGCCTCCCTCTCTGAGCCTGAATTTCCCCACGTGTAACACACGGAAATTAACCTTCTCCACAGGCTTCCCAAAGCCCCCTTCAGGGTACCATGAGAGGGTCTGGACAGATGCCAAGGAAAGACAGACTATGAGCAAAGCGGTCTGGGGCGGCCAGACGCGAGCCAGACAAGGCTCTGATCACTGGGCGAGGCTCTTTGAGGAACCGAGAGTTGCTGGGACAGAGCCCGCGAGGAGAAAGTAAAGAGAGCGGCGCTCCCCTCCCCCGACCCCGGCCCTTTGTCCGGAATCCAGCTGTGCCCCGCGGGGGAGGAGCGGGCTCGCGTGGCGCGGCACCCCGGCCCCGGCGCTGATTGGCCGGCGGCGCGGGCAGCCGCGGGGCAGGCACGCTCCTGGCCCGGGCCGAGCAGATAAAGCGTGCCAAGGGGCACACGACTCGCAGCTCAGGAAATCCGCGCCCACAGAGAGCAACAGAGGCCCGGGACGCCCTTTGCGCTTCTCTTCTTCTTTGGAGCTGGGGGAACTCCCAGGCAGCGGCGCAGCATCTCAACCGAACTTGCAGACGAAAAGGCCAGCTCAGCTCACCGCTGCTCTAGCCTTTTGCGCCCGAGAACAAGGTAACACCTGGAGGCCGCAGAGGGGCGGACGGAAGGGAAAAGGGGTCCTCTGATCCGGCGGAGATTGGCTCTCTGTTTTTTCCTACCTGGCTCCGGGATCGGGAACTGAGCAGGGGTAACCGACCTAGGCTTACCCGTACCCCTTACCCCACTGCAGGATGGTGCCTCATCCCTCGCGTGCGCGAGCTGTCCAAGTGACCCATGAGACAGAGCAGCCCTTCCCCGGTGCCTCGGACGTCGAAGTGACCCGCGTCGCGTCCGCTCCGCCCAGCCCTACTCGCGTGCGGGGGAACTGCGCCGAGGCGGAAGGAGGCAACTGCCGAGGGGCGGCGAGGAAGCCCCGGGCTCGGCGCGGGGGGCGCAGCCGGCCCAAGAGCGAGCTGGCTCTGAGCAAGCAGCGACGGAGCCGGCGCAAAAAGGCCAACGACCGCGAGCGCAATCGGATGCACAACCTCAACTCGGCGCTGGACGCGCTGCGCGGCGTCCTGCCCACCTTCCCCGACGATGCGAAGCTCACCAAGATCGAGACGCTGCGCTTCGCCCACAACTACATCTGGGCGCTGACGCAGACGCTCCGCATAGCTGACCACAGCCTCTACGGGCTGGAGCCGCCCGCGCCGTCTTGCGAGGAGCTGGGCAGCCCGGACGACGGCTCCCCGGGAGACTGGAGCTCTCTCTACTCCCCGGTCTCCCAGGCGGGCAGCCTGAGCCCAGCCGCCTCCCTGGAGGAGTGCCCCGGGCTGCAGGCGCCTGCTTCCCCTGCCTGCCTGCGCCCCGGCGCCCTGGCTTTGTCAGACTTTCTATGAAGGAGGCTGTCGGCCGTTGGGCAGTGGGTGCTGGGAGAGAGGGAAGGGGCGGAGGCCGTCGGGGTGCGGGGCGGCGGCCCTCACGCGAACTTGCTTCTGTTGCCTTTGGCTCACTGACCCTTGGCGGGCCCAGGCGCCTGCAGAGGTGGAGGCCGGGTTCCATCCCCTGGTCTTCTGCTTCGCACCAACTGCAACCCTCTGCCGCGGCCGGCGCAAACGGGCATTGCAGGCTGCGCGCCTTCTGGGCCCCCTCCCTGCGGCCACCCCAATATCTCGTGCAAAGAAGACGACAATGATAGCACTACACAGCCCGAGACGCCCACCGTCTCCTGCCACCCCATCCTCACTAGAGTCTGTCTGTCGGCCTGTCGGTCTGCCTCTTACCTCTCCTCCCCCAATGAGATTTAATCCAATCTTTGGTCTCTCGGCGTTTGCTCCTCTCACCCAGCGTCTCTTCCCCAACCACGCCGCTGACCTCCTCTGGTCCCCAGCAAGTCCTGGGTTCGGCCGCTCCACTCTGCCTTAATCCACGAAGGCGATCCTCTGCCTTCTCCTCGTGCACTTTTCTTCGGAGCCATTGCCCTCCCGGGGGCGGGACACCAGGCTGTGAACTGAGAAAGCGCCAACCCGGCTGGGGGAGCGCCTCCCCCGCCTCCCTGAGTCCTGGAGCGCCGTTGTCTTAAAAAAAAGAAAATCACTTTGTAAATTATATGATATCTTTCGAAATGAATTTTGGTACTGTAAATTATATGGCCCCCTCCCTCGTATTACACGTTTGTATTTATTGATGAGATTTCACAGCGGGAAAAGTCTATATTTTGAACATAGATTATTTAGGGACTGGTGAACGAGATTTTGAGCGAATAAAAAAAGGACCCTCAAGAAGACTGAGTAAGGTAACTCGATTGTGAGCAGAGGAGGGGTGGGGGTGGGGTGGGGGGGTGGTGTTCGGTCCGAGCAGAGGGACGAGACTCTGAGACTCTGCGGGTCTGGGGCCTCCTCGGGCCTGGGCTCAGAGACTGTAGCGCCGGGCTGGAGGCGGGGAAGAGGCGTTCAGAGGCAAATCAGCTGTACACTCTCGGAAAGTAAGAGCGGGAAGGCTCTTAAGAAATCATTGATCCGGGCTCCTTGTTTTATTTATGGGGCAGCGACTTGTCTTACTCCAAACAGTGGTTTAGAAGAAAGACAAGTCTCCAAGTAGGACCACTCACTGGTGCGCTGGCCCTGACCCGTATGTCGCTAGCCCGGATTTAGTTGCATTTGGGTAAGGAAAGGAGTAACATCGCCGCGGCAGGGTCAGGGCCCTCAGAAACCGCCGGTGGGCTGAGCGTCCTGGGAATTTTCCCAAAGTGCTTAGAGACCTAGCACATCTTCTGAGCGCATTTTACGCAGCTGCGCTGAGACGGTGGTGTCGTGACTTGCCGGGCTGAGCAGCGGGGAGGAGAGAAGGTGGAGGGTCCGGCTGGAATCTCTGGCACCGCCGGACGCCCGGCAGCTTTGATTGAAAACTTATCAAGAAACAGTTTAGGGTTTCCAGCCACGCGTTCTTTATTGCTCCCAAAGTAGAATAGGACTGGTGCGCGGCGGGTACTGGAACTTGTCCCAGGGCGCTGCTGGAGTGCCCTTCCATGGCTTCCGGGACCCCAGGACCTCGGGAAGCTGGTCTGAGCTGCAAGAAGCCGCAGAGTCCGCCTGGCGCTGGGCAGCAGGAACATGGAGGGCCCGCCTACCCTGCGAATCAAATCCCAGAGGCCTCCTTGGGTTGGCCTGGGGCGCCCTGGGAAGAAGTGAGCCAGCCCTAGTGGGGCATGCTGCTGTCAGGGGCAGGGAGCCCGTGGGTAGGTGCCTTTCTGGCTCCTTAGAGGGCAAGGGTGGTGGCTTTGCAGGAGTTAACGCTTCTTGCAACTGTCCCTTACGCCCTCCCCACTTCAAACTGAGTCTTTTCTCTCCTCTACTCCCAGGTCCCTAAAGCTAGCTGGGAGGAGATGACTCAGTTATCAGGGGTCAGATTTGGGGGCAGGAAGGGGCCCTTGATAAACAAACAAACGAACAAAGGTGTTGTTTCATTTCATGGCTTTAATCTGGGAGGAGGAGATTAATGGGTTATTAGTGACCTCTGCAGCAGCCAACTTTCCACCTGGGGGACTGTCCTGGGGCAGGTGTCAGCAGCTACCAGTTGCACAGACCAAGCCAGCGCCTACTACTTGCTGGACGTTGGGGGGAGGGGTATGGACAGACAGAAAAAGTGGGAAAGTCCATCTCTGTTCTCCTGGGACAGTAGCAAGTATATAGACAAAATCATTCAAAGCCAAAATTTGTGCTGGGTGGAGGTACTGGCCACGGGATAGATGGTAGGGTGGTTACCTGGGGCTGGATTGGGAGGCTTGCTGGCAAAGGTGACATTTGGGCTGGGACTAAAGGTTTGGAGGGGAATTCCTCAAGCAAGAAGACCATTCTTCCTGTGAAAGGCTGTGGGAAGTACTGTTCAAACAGGCAGGGGACTCCCTTGGTGCAAACAAGCCCCCAAGCTGAAAGAACGTCTGTTGGTACTGCCTTGCAGGTGGAGGCGCCCACTGCCCAGCCTGTCTCCAGCTTTCAAGGGTGTTTACCAAGGAGCCATTAGTCATCCAACACACACAAACTGGTCCTCTGCCCCACGATTTAAAAAAAAATAATAAGGTTTAACCAGCTCGACTTCTGGGCTGCCACCTTGGGTCAGGCAGATTTGATGCTGGAGCTATCCATCAGCTCTACTCTCCAAGTGAGGAGGAGGTGGAGGGCGGCTTAGGGTTTGGTTCAATCATTGCAAAATTTAGGACTCTTGTGCCCAGATGAGCTTCATCAATATGTGTGGAATTGTATTAAGGCGGGAAACCTCATCCTTGCCTCTTTCCAAAGAGCCCCTCATCAAGAAGGGCTGGGAAACATTTCTGTGAGTGGAGCGTACAACTAGCGCGGCATCACCACCACTGCGCCCCCACCCTACATGGGCATTTTGTGTTCAGCAGCTTTTAAAATCAGCCAGGCTGCTGACTGTCTGTCCTGGAAGCCTGCCCCTGCCCACTGTGCCGCCTCTTGTGTGGCTGCAGAGCTGCCTGCTGTCTCAGGTTGTTGCCTGTGCCCCAGCTCCCTGAAACCAAAACAGGATCCCAAGCGGGAGGAGGAAAGACACTCGAGTTGAACATCTTTCTTCCCCCACTTCTGCCTTTGTCTGAGCCCAAGCCTGGCTTCCAGAAAACCAGCACATGAATCTTGCGCCACCCCCACACACCCTCATCTGCACACACAAGCAGGTAGATTTATGGTGCCCTGCCCCCATCCCACCCCACCCCCAAGCCGGCCTTGGTCAGAGGACAAAGCGCCCCGGGGCCATTGGAATGCTAATGTCTGGGAGCCAGGCCTCTGGGCTGGCACAAAGGCAGGCGGGGCCGGGAGCGCACGCGACCCCACAGCCGCACTCTGCCCCTCCTCTCTTCCACGGGCCATTCTACTGGGCTGTGTGACCTTGGACAAGTCTGAGCCTCAGCTGATTCACATGAGGAGTTGGAAGGAGTCCCTAATACCCTCTCACTGGATTTATGAGTGCCTAAGAGGGGGTCCTGCTTATAGTGTATGGAGTTACAGCCTCCCAAGACTGGAAGCGGTGAAGAAGATCCTCCAGGGCCTGGCACTGAGGACACACGATGGGGAGGGGGTGTGTGTTGGAGGGGCAGATTTCACTGAGAATGTGGTGCAGAATAAGCACTGGGTAAATTATAATTACATTTTTACCTTCAGGTAATTAATACTCTCTGTTGTGTTCCTTTCCCCCCTCCTCCCTTTTTAAAATACCTACAGACTGTGCTCAAGAAAAATACAGACGGGACACTAGCTAACCTTACCTGCCTGCTCCGCCTTCAAAGGGCAGAGAGCACCAACAGTGGGAGACTTCAGGCTGGACACTTTACTCAGGTAACCTACTGCAGCTGGTGAAGTGGGCAAGGCAGGATGGACACACCCATGGAAACAGAGATCCAAAGTCTTGGAAGTAGGTGACTTGCCCAAGCCCCTCAGTCACCCGGTGTGTTATTGAAGCAAGCTATGACTGTGACCCTGGCTCAATTTAGAGCTCTTTCCTCTGTGCTGAGTCAGTCTGTAGTTTGTGCTTTGGCTCATGCCGGGTCCTCCAGGTCTTATAAGGCCAAGAGACTCCCTTGCGCTTTGGCCGTTATCTGGACCCCTGGCGAGGTTCCAGGCTCCTGTCTGAGCCCTCTGCTTCTGAGATGTGCCGGAGAGGAGCCTGCCTGGCTAACACGATCGGGCACCGAGGTCCTGAAAGGCGGTGGCGCGCCCCTGACCATGGTGCTGAAATGGCCGCGTTGGTTTAGAAAGAGATGCGGCTGGGAACGTGGTGTTCTAAAGACACAAAGCTACCGTTAACCTACTCTGCCCACCTAGGGAGCCCCCTGTGGACATGCATACCCAGAATGCTGTCAGGTTTCTTTGGCGTGGTGGCTAAAGCATGGACTCTGTTGCTACCGACTGTGTGACCCTAGCAAGGCCCTTTTCTCTTTAGGCCGTAAGATTCTCCCTTGGAAATGATGGAGCTAGAATTGAATGACCAGCTTAGGAATTTCGGACAGCATCTGAGAGGTCTGAAGTGGGACAACATTGGAAGTTCAGGCTGCAGCAGCAGCCTTAACTGGGAAAACTGGTTTGGAACTTTGCCCTCAACAGGGGTCTCATTCTTTGGGTTACAATGAAGTTTTAGTTATTCAAAGAACGAAGGCAAAAGGAGTCCTCCAAATGCATACACAAGATGGCAAGAGTGGTTGAGAACAATTACTTTAGAATCACACAGACATGGGTTCAAAGGCTGGTCCTGCCACTAACTGGTGGTTTTCAATTAAACCCCTTCCCCTCTCTAACACTCATCTTTCTCACCAGTGAAGTTGGGACAATAAGTAGTAGCCACTTAACTGAGATGATTAAATGCACTTGCTTTTTTATTGCAGGCTAAGCCATCATAAATGGTATTTATTAGTAGTAGTACCTTCATTTGTCTCAAATTCTCTCAGGTTTTCTGGAGGGGAGTCTTTTTGGGATGCTTTTGTATGAATTTGAATTTGTGCAAACTGACTCAAAGGCCGAGGGCCAAGCGCCCCTTCCTGGCAACCCTCCCCAGCTTAGACCTACCCTTCCTGAGCTCCAGGATTATATGTCCAGATGTCCCTTGGGCACCCCAAAAGTCCAAAATGGAATTCCTCTAACCTAACCCCAAACTAATGCTGCCTCCTGTTCCTGATCTCACTAAGTAGCATCACCCAGTTATCCATACTAAAAATCTAGGGTTCTTCTTGACTCCTCTCTCACTACCCACATCCAATTAACCCTTAAGTCCTGCTGATTTTTCCTTCTCACTATTTCTTGAATATGACCTCTCCTTTACCTCCTTATTACCATTGTCCTAGTTCAGGCTCTCATTCCTCACATGGAGAGGCTAACTGATCTCCTTACCTCTAATTTCAACATTCTTCACTGTACCTTCCATACTGCAGCCAGAGTTCCCATCTAACAAGCACATATAACATTGTCATTGTCTCTCCCCCATTTAAAATCTTCAAGTGGTTTCCAGTCTTCCTTGGGATAAAGTGCATGTTCCAACAAGGAAGGATGGTGTAATGTGAGCTGTGAAGTGATATGAATCTAGATTCAATTCCCAGCTGGTTCACTAACTATCAGTATGACCATGAAGAAGTTCCTCAACTTTTCTCTCAATTTCTTCATCTGTGAAGTTGGAATATTACCTTTTAGCGTTTAAGTTAGAGTAAAATCAGGCTGCTGTAATGGGCTCACCAATAATTCAATCTAAGGTGAGCATTCTAGGTGGCTGCGTAGCTCTGCTTCATGACATCATTCAAGGATTCTTCCATCCTCTTCCTCCACCAGCTCCTAGGTCCTCGTCCTTGCTGTCCACGTGGTTGAGGCTGCATTGCCATGGACCCCAGCTAGTGGGAAGTGGAAATAAGGCATGGAGGAGCCTCACCCACAGTCTTAAAGCTTAGACTCAGCAGTAGCATATTTCACTTCTGCTCCCATTCCACAGACAGAACATAATCATACGGCCTCACCTAACTGGACAAGGGCCTGTGTGCCTAGAAAGAAGCAAAGAATGGATTCTGGTAATGAGCAGTCTCCACCACAGGGTTGTTGCCAGGATTAAACTAGATGATACCGCTCTTATTGTTTTTATCATCATGAATCACTTATGCTTATGACCAGAGTCCTGCTGCACCAGCCTCTTTTTCACAGTGCCTTGCTTGCCTTGCCATTTACCCTCCAGAAACACTGACTGCTTGAAGTCTTCCTCTTACGCACACTCAGGTACCCCTTGAATGCTTTCTTCCCACACCGCTGTCTCTGCCTAAACCCTCTTTCCCTTTTTCCCTCCCCAAATCTCCAAAACGGACATCACCTCCTCCCAGCTTTCTCTGAACTATTCCTCCCTCCTTGCTCCTGCTCCCATAACATATTGAGCATATGAATATCTTTGCACTTTCCAGTAGTACTGTAATTATCCGTTTGTTCATCTGCACCCTCCACTGGTCTGTGAGATCTTCTCAAGGGCAGGAACTGTGTCCATCTTCTTGTCTCCAATGAGTGCTCATTCTCAAACTTATGCCACGTGTTTTTAGAATGAATTGAGTAAGTGAATTGACTAAACGAATGAAAGGCACTTCAACTATTTGTTTAGAAATTTCTATCCTTCCCCAGACTGGCTACCGTATAAAGGTCAATGAATATTTATTGAATAAATGAATAGTTTACATAGAGACCCATTACCCTTCCTGCTTCATTCCCTCCTCGGCACAAAAATAACCTTTCCTTGCCTGCCTCTGGTCTATTTTAGAAGATGCCCCATCTGATTCGGTGAGACTGGATTACCTAAACAATATCACTGTTTCTGAGAGCACTAGTAATAATGTCAATAGTCAGGTGTGGGTGATCCCTTCTGAGATAGTCCCTTAGAGCATGGGGCTCGGCATCTGTCTCAACTCCAGCACTTCCTAATTCTATTACCTTGAGAAAGTTACTTAGCCTCTCCAAGCCTCTGTGTCTCCTCTTTAAAAATGGAGAACACCACACCACCTCATAGGGTTTTGTAAGGATTCAAATGAGGTGACAGATATGTCCACACACTTCATGGGCCTGCCAGCAATTTGAAGCAGAACTCACTACAGGACCCGCCCCATCTCCATCTTATTCCTACAGATGACTAGCAAAGAAGGCATGGCCAGGACTGACTTACCCACATCAACCAGGTAAAGGTGATATGACTTGTCCAAGCACCAAGCCTGTTGACTACAGAGACAAACTGATGCTCCTACTATCCTAACATCATCACCAGCTATACTACCTGTGATGTACTAGTTATCTATTGCTGCATAATAAATTACAAAAAACTTAACTACTTAAAACAAGAAACATTTATTGTGTGGGTCTTCTGTGGGTCAGGAATCCAGCTGCAGTTTGGCCAGGTGCCTCTGGCTCCACGTGTCTCATGGCTGCAGTCAGAGTGTCAGCCAGGAATGCGGTCTCACCTGATGGCCTGACTGCGGGAAGATCCACTTCCAGTCTTACTCGTATGACTGTTGGCAGAACTCAATACCTTGAGGGCCTTTGCACTGAGGGCCTCAGTTCCTCAGTGACTTTGAGCCAGAAGACTTCAGTTCCTTCCATGTGGGCCTTTCCATCGGGCAGCTCATAGCATGGCAACCGGTTTCCTTCAATGCAAGCAAACAAGAAATAGAGGGACACCTGAAACAGAAGCCACAGTCTTTTTTTAAAATCTAATCTCAAAAGTGACATTCCATCACCTCTGCCAGATTCTATTCACCAGAAATAAACTACTAAATCCAGCCCACAGCCAAGGAGTGGGGATTACACAATGGCACGAAGACTAGGAGGCAGGGATCACTGGGGGCATCTCAGAGGCCGCCCATCACATCAGCAGGAGCAGAGTCTTTGCTGCCTTCTTTCCACACCCCAGAGACAGACAGATAAACATACATGCATACACACACGTGCACACGCACATACACACATACACAACCTCCCCAGGGCCATACATACAGGGTTCAAAAGGAGAAAGCCCAGGCAGTTTGACTCCTGGGGCTAAAGCAGATGTCCCCCAGTGCTGGGTTGTTTTCCAAGAAGGGCCCAGGATGGGGAACCACTCAGTGAGCATTTGAGCCACCCCAGCTGAGCTCCGACATCCATTTACTACTTTCACAGGCCTCCCCACCCCCACTCCCAGAGGCAGAGATTTAGGACGTCTGGGGCCTGGACACCGTACCCACTGAAGGGAAATTTACTGCCTCTAGAGAACCAGGGCTGGACTTGGGGTCTTGAATGCATCTTTTTCCCCTTTGCCTCTGCTTTATTAGGTTAATCATTGCTTGAATCGGTTGCCATGGTTTGGGCAAACCCATGGCGACTCTATAATGAAGCCTGAAAGACTCGGACCCCATTTATCATCCCCAGTGTTTGGGAGGCCCAGAGCCTCATTTGCCTCCCCCAGGGTCTGGGCACCACCCTTCTGCCTGGGGCCCCCAAGCCCCTTTTGAACGAGGAATGAACAGGTGGCGACTTGGAAGAGAAGAGGAGACCCACACAGGTGGAGTGAGCCATGCACTGCACATTCCCCCACCACACTCACACACACACACACGCATTTATATTTTCTCCTCCAGGAGTCCAGACACAGACCAAGCACACAGGCAGCTCTGCCAGACTTTTTCTTCCTGGAGAGTGAGACGCAAAGAGGGATCTTCAGTTAGAAAGGATCTATGGCTGCCCTTAGAAATAGGGGGTTTTTGTCTTGGCAGATCCAGATGTGACAACTTTTATTCCCTGGACATAGGTCGAGCAGCATTGCAATCCTGCAATGAGTTATAAACAGATGGGGCAAGGCCCAGTGGGGAAATGAAGGCACACAGAGGTTCAACAACACCTTCAAGGTCACCCAGTGATGGTATAGCCAGGGTGGAACCTGGAGCCAGTAAAATTTATTGTGGAAAATTTCAAACATAGAAGGAAGAGCATAATGAATTCTCATGTATCTATCACCCAGATTCAACAATTATCAGCTCAGAGCCAATTATATTTCAGCCACATACCTACCCACCTCCCCCAGCACTACCTCCACGGATTATTCTGAAGTAAATCCTAGACATCATACAATTTCAACCATAAATCCTTCCCCAGGATCCTTTTTTGCTCAGCATAAATTACATAATAGAGTGTAGCAGCTCACAGCATTGACTCTGAAGATGGCCACTCTGGGTTCAAATCCGAGCTCTGTCCCTTCCCAGCTGTGTGACCTTCAACTAGTGACCTAATGTCTCTGAGCCTAAGTTTCCTCAACTATAAAAGGATGCAGTGGGTAATTGGGTAATTGTCATAGGGTAATTGTCAGGATAAAATGAAAATAACACAAAGCAGGTGCTCAGCACCTGTGCCAGGCACAGAGTAAATGGTGGCTTTTCTTGTTTCCATCCTTGTTACCACTGCACCACCAGCAGTGGCTGTAGTCCGGCAGAAGGTCGGCTCTTGGCCTCCAACATCCAGGTCTCTTGGTTCAGTCCCCTGGCTTGGAGGCAAGTGCCTTGTCACTTCTCTGTACTGGGCACTGGACTCTGAGAACACAGATCTCAGCAGTGGGCCTGGCCCTGGGTACTGACAGGCACCAGCCTCTGCTGCTCACAGCCCTGCCCAGCTCTGCACCATGACGCCCCCAACTAGCAAGACCAGGCCCCCCTTTTCCTCTTCTCCTTGCACCTTTAGACCTTCTGACCTCTTTGCTGCTGATCCCATCTGTGAGCAGGGGCCAACATACGTGCCTGAAGGTTGCATGGGTGTGCGCACAGGCGTGTGCACATCCTTGTGTGTGTATGCACGTGTCTCCGAGTGTGTGTGCTGCTCCTACACGTGAACTAGCATATTCTCATGCTTCTTTGTGCTTAGCCTGTGAGGGAGACCAGAGAAGGAGACTAGGACCTGCCCTCTTGCAGTTCATGGTTGAGTGACACAGACCAGAGGAAATCTAGTCAGACGAAGACAGGAAGGCACAAGCGTAGCACTGAGACCTCTTGGAGGAGACAAGGAGAACACCGAGCTCGGCCAAACATACAAGGTTGACAACAGAAGACGGGGCAGGCAGGGGCTCCGCAGAGGCCGAGGGCATGGGAAGGGAGACAGCCCGTCTGGGTTCGTTGCTTAGGTAAGGCCCAGTCTCAGGAGCTACCCTGTCCAGGAGAGGCTTATTCTTGGAAATCACCCACACCCCAAGATCAGAGCTCTGAAGGCTCCTCTGGGCTGAAAAGGCCTCCTCCCCCTGTCAAATCTCCTTTTTCTTTGATGGCAACGAATTTTTCCTGTGGCTTTACTATGTCTAAGTACAGCCCTAGTGCTTTCTGTTAGTCAGTCTATGAGATCAGAATTACTATTCCCATTTTACAAATGATGAAACTGGGGCTGAGAGCAATGGAGGAACATGTTACCGTCACCTGGCGAGAGGTGGAATGGATTAAACCAGGCCCCTGGACCTACAGCTGCTTCTCTTCCCCCTGCAACACTGCTCCACTGCCTTTTCCTTTTTTTAAGTTTTGATTTTGGACATTTTCAAATATGCAGAAAGCAGAGAGAATAGAATAATGTGTCCTCGTGCACCGTTGCTCAGCTTCTGCAACCAACAGTTCACAGTCAACTTTGTTTCATCTACTTGCCCCAACCCCATCCACCCCTATCCTGCACACACACTTTTAGTTTTGTCTGTGGAATATTTTAAAACACATCCCAGAGATCTATCACCCTACCTGGAAATACTTCAGTGTTTATTTCTAAGTGATAGAACATTTTTTAAAAAGCCACCAAACTATTTTTTATACCTAATGAAAACAATTCTGTAATATAATCTAATATCTAGTCATATACAAATGCTTCCAATCATCTTTTTTTTTTTTTTTGAGGAAGATTAGCCCTGAGCTAACATCTGCCACCAATCCTCCTCTTTTTGCTGAGGAAGACCGGCCCTGAGCTAACATCTGTGCCCATGTCCCTCTACCTTACATGTGGGACGCCTACCACCGCATGGTGTGCCAAGCTGTGCCGTGTCCGCACCCGGGATCCGAACAGATGAACCCCGGGCCGCCAAAGCAGAACTTGCAAACTTAACCGCTGTGCCACCGGGCCAGCCCCAACTTCCAATCATCTGTTACAAAAATGTACAAACAAACAAAAAGACCTCTCATCTTAGAATCTCCTCTCTCCCAAATCGGCTGGAGGCCAGGACCAAGGCCAAGACGGAGGCCAGGCCAGCCATGACTCCGTGGCTTGGTGGGACTGGCCTTGGGAAAGTCACTTCCCTCCCCGCCCTCCCCACCACCCCCACCCTAATGTCTGCTGACCAGCCATCCTGGTTTGCCCAGGACTTTCCCAGCTTTCTCTCTGCGAGTCCTCTGTCCCTGGCAAACCCAGATGGTTGGTCACCCTACAAGGAGCTGGACACCTGGTACCCACCCCGCCCTCCCTCCCGCTCCTGGCTCCTGTGTGGTGTCACCCACTGGGAGCAGGGGGAGCCCACCACTGAATTTCAAGGGCCCTGAAATAACAAATAATTTACCGAAACCTTTGAGGAGAAGGCCCGAAGCCCCCCAGCCGCCAGCAGAGAATCAGGAGCTTTTCACACCCAGGGGACCGGATTCAGCAGTCTCCTCCCTCGGTCTTTCTCCCCTCCCCAGATCTAATGACAATCCAAAGAGTTCCTGATAGGGTTTTAAAAGATGCTCTTCATTCACCATCCACCAAGCATGAAAATCCAGCTCGTTTGTCTCCATTCTTTGGCCTAAAGGCCTGGCCGGCCTCGGGCCTGCAGCCTCAGACTTGTCACTCACTTTTCACTTCCTTTTGTTGGACTAGCCTTTATTTCATTCTTCTGTCTCCTCCTTGCACCCTCCTCTCCCCTCCTCATCCATCCGTGCCCTTCCCCTCTGCCCTCCCCCAGCACTCCCTAGCTCCTCTGTCCACACAGAAAAAGCAACAGACCAGTCTGGGAATTTCTTTACGGTCCCTGCCCCTCGCCCCCACCCAGTCTTTTCTCACTCATGGCTTTTAAAAAGTGGGAGCAAAAAGCCAGCAGCAGCTAAAAAGGATTCAGCATCCAGGAACAGAATTGCCTCATGCTCTGGCTGGAAATGGCCCCAGGGACCCCTAAGTCTTGTTCTTTGGCTTCACAGCTGTGAAACTGAAGCCCAGAGAGGGGAAGAGACCAGGCCAAGGTCACACAGGGTTAGTGGCACAGCAGGGTCCAGAGCCAAGTGTCCCAGATTCTCAGGCTAGACTCCACCACACAGAATTGGTGGCTACTCCTCTGTCCCCACGGCACTACATTTATCCTTCTTTTGACTCTTAGCTGTCTGGGCCAAGGATCACAGCTTGAAGGCAGGGCCATGTCCAGTTCTCCGCTGTGTCCTTTGAATGCTTAGCACATGGTAGGCATTCAGTGGTGGTGATGATGCTTTTAATGAGACTGAACTAAGATATGTGGGGGCCAGGCTGCTCCCTACTCTTTGGACCTCTTATCAGCCACCTTCTGGGCCATGGCTTTGTTGCCAGGCTCAGGATATCACCATGGGACCCCTGGGGGAGGGTGGGTAAGAAAGGGCTGTGTGTTTAGCAGTCAGACCCCTTAAAAGGAAATTCCCCTTCTAAGAACAACCAACGCTGGGGAGACAGGAGAGGTTGCTCCCCTCCTTCTCCAGGGGCAGCAAGTAGAGCAGGGAGGGAGCCGGCAATGGGCCCCTCATCTGGGGCAATGTGAAACAGGAGGGAGTACAAGAAGCAGGAGGGTTTACGAGGGGATCTGGTGGTGGTCTAGTGGTTAAGATGTGGTGCTCTCACCACCTCGGCCAGGGTTCATTTCCCACTCAGGGAGCCATACCACCCATCTGTCAGTTGTCAGACTGTGGCTTGTCACACTGTGGTGGCTGTGTGTTGCTGTGATGCTGAAAGCTATGCCACCGGTATTTCAAATGCCCGCAAGGTCACCATGGTGGACGGGTTTCAGCAGAGCAGTACGCAGGGTCACTAGGAGTCTGAATCAACTCCACAGCACTAACAACGACTGGTTCCTCCAGTCCTCAGTGAGTGTCGCCTACGTGACGGGCCCTGTGTAAGTGATGGGAGAAGAGAGGCGCTGCTGGTTGTGGAGCCACATGGGTCTGAGAAGGAGGGGCAGGTCAGATCCACAAGCACACCCCCAGTCCTCTGTGACCTGGCCCATGCCACCAACTGGAGGTCCCACTTCTATGAATGGCATCACTAGCCACCAGCCACCCACCTGCCTAAGCTGGAAACCTGGGTGCCAGCCTCGCCTTGGCCCTGTAGATTCTGTGGACTCCGCTCTGGGTGTCTGTGGAACCCATCTCAGCCTCTCCCTGCCTGCCGTCTCAGTCTTCGCTGAACTGTTGCCCCAGCCACACAGAGGTCCCTGCCTGGAGCCCCCCGTCACCTCCCACTCTAGTCCAGCCCACACACCATAGTCTACTCTTCTTGCTGCAGCTCATGTCCCTCCTCTGAGCTTTCCATGGAGGGGAGAGAGCCGCTGACCTCTTTAGCAGATTGTAGTGGTCAAGGGCTCAAGAACACGGCTTTGGGCTCAGGCTCCCTGGGTTTAGATTACAGATCTGCCACCTACCAGCTTGGTGACCTTAGGCAACCTCTTTAAGCCTCAATGTCATTTGTGAAATAGGGATAATTTTAGTACTTCTCTCACAGGATAGTTGTGAAGATTAAATATAGGATCTACAATATAACGCAATATACAGTAAGTATAACCATATGCAATAGAATAACATACTAAAGCAGGAAGTTGCATGACACCATCAGTGAACATCAGCTTTTGTTCTGTTGTTATGATTGTTGTCCTTCTGGACTTTAAAATTTTTTTCTCATTTCCATATATTACTGTAATTTTTTGTGTGTGTGAGGAAGATTCACCCTGAGCTAACATCCTCTGTTTTGTGTGTGGGACACCTCCACAGCATGGCTGCCAACAAGTTGTGTAGACCTGCGCCCAGGAACTGAACCTGGGTCACCAACGTGGAGCATGCTGAACTTAACCACTAGGCAAAAGGCTGCCCTCCACTGTAATTATTTTTTAAATTGACCCATCCTTTCTTGTCAGCAGGATTATCAAATGCCTTAAAATAGTCAAACTTCTTGGCCCAGAAATTCCTCCCAAGGAAATGATCAGAAATTGTATAAGAATGTTTCAACAAAGATATCTATAACATCATTGTTATAATGGTAAAAAATTAGATACAAAGGAAACTTTCAACCATAGAAGACAGATCAGACTGTTATATATATTCACACAATGGCTACTATGCCCCGTTGAAAATTGTGTTGTAAAATAATGCTTGTTACCATGGGGAATTGTTCACAACATATTGCTAAGTAGAAAATAAATCCTGGATTTTCAGCAAGATGATAGACAAGGAAACTTGCAAGCCACTCCACTACAAAATATCTAGAAATTCTGGATAAAAGACAAGAAACATTCTTTTAGAGGTAAACTATTTGCACAAAAGATATACGCATGTTTATGCTCAGGAAAAAATCTGGAAAGACATCCACCAATTTATTGAGTAGATAATGTGATTGTAGAATTTTCTTTCATTTCTAAATTTGGCTAGTTTTTTGCACTGAGCTTGTATTATCTTCTAATTACAGGTAAATGTTATCATTTGAAAGTTTTAATTAATGAATAGAGTGGTATTCCAATTTCTAAAAATGCCTTTGGTGGGATGGCAGGAACAGCTTCTTTGCTGGGGAACATTGGAGCAGAAAGCTTGGCCAAGCAAGCTTGGATCAGAAGGGCGTGAAGACAGGGCGAGGCTGAGATGTCAGTGAGCGAGGGGCAGAGGGTGGGGTTGGACTCCTTCTCCTCATTTCAAAGGCTAATGATCTTCTTCCCTCTCCAGTTTCCCACTGTACCACTGGGGGTGTGAGGAAGGGCGATAAAGGAAATTGAACAGCTCCATGGCACTGGGCTTGGCTGGGCTGCTCCCATGTGCCCTGAACTGTGGTGGGCTTTTCTGGGAATTCAAGGTAAATCCAGGCCTTAAACACCAGGTCAGCTCAGGAAATAAGCTTTTCTGTCTGAAAACATTTACCAGAAACTGTGGTTTATTTAGTTAAACATTAGGGTGTTACTTTTGAAAAATTTGTAACTATTTTAGATAAGTTGGTAGAATTTGGAAGAAGGATCTTTGCAGGTGTAATTAAGTTAGAGATCGGAAGCTGAGCCCATCCAGGATTCGGTGGACTCTAAATTCAATGACAAGTCCTCGTAAGAGACAAGAGGAAGAAGCAGACACTGAGACACAGAGGAGGCCATGTGAACACAGAGGCAGAGACGGAGCTTTGTAACCCTTAGCCGGTGACGGCCAGCGGCCACCAGAAGCTGGAAGAGGCAGGGAAGGATTCTCCTCGAGAGTCTTTGGAGGGAGCAGGGCCCTGCCAACACCTTGATTTCAGACTTCTAGCCTCTAGAATTGTGAGAGAATAAATTTCTGTTGTTTTAAGCCACTCAGTTTGTGATGATTTGTCATGACAACTCCAGGAAACTAACACACTTTTAAAAAAATATTTCATCTTTCAGCACCTCCATACCGAGAGCACGTGCTATCTGTCAAGTGTGTGGCAGACAGTAAAAGCTCAGCAATGTCAGTTCCCACACCCGCCTGTCCTGATGATTAGGGAGCCACCACAAACGCCAGTTGTGGTCCAGTTCCACACACGCCCTGAGCTCCAGAGATGTGCTCACCTCTGTCACGTGGCCTGGACTGCTGTGGGGACTGACCTCTTCTCTCTCCTGTTCTGGCCCTTAGCTGCTCTAGACCGCCTGGCTCTGGTAGCTGACCACCCACTTTCTGGCTTGCCGGCCCCATCACATTTGGCCTAGGGAGCCAGCTGTCCAAGCTCAGTGGGATTGCCTCAAAAGACGAATAAACGGAATCCAAGCGAGGAGCCGGGGGCCTTTCCTTTGAACTGCACGTGTGAGCTTTGAGTGTTGGACTTGGCGCCATCAGAATGATGCTGGAGGACGGCAGGGAGGGAGGCCTCATCTAGCAGGGTGGGGGCAAAGACCCCTGGTATCAGCGGGGGACTCTCAGAAGTACAGAAATCAGCGTGGATGCAGAGCTGCTGCAGTAGGCACAGCACCAAGCCTCAGGGCCTGTGAGAGGAGAGGGTTTCTAGAATCATGGAGGTGGCCAATCCAGGAGCAGCCCCAGGAGGCCACCTGGAGGAGGTGGAGCTTTGAAGGAGGGAAGAACCTCAGGACAAAGAGGCAATGACAGACAATGAGATAAGCATGGGATCTGAGCCCAACGATCTGGTTCCCATCCCAGCCCAGGCACTGGTAACTTGGTGGACATCCTTCCAGACTTGCCCATATATATATATATATGAAGAAAAAATGGTACTCTACTTTTGTCGCACTATGCTTATTTCCCTTAATATATGACAAACATCCTTCAGTCTTAATGAAATATAGATCTACCCTGTCACTCCAATTGCTAATTGTTTCCATTTTCTCATCTGTAAGAAGTCAGTATCCGATCTGCCGTGTTCTTGGGCTTAGGGAAGTTCTAAACGAGAAAATGTGTGGTCTGTGTGTGGCTCGTGGACACGTGCCGATTGGATTTTAGTAGCCGTCCTGCCTAGGGGACTACAGCTCCAAGGAACAGCATGGACCAGGGGAGGCGGGGCGGTGGTGGCAGGACAGAGCAGCCTTCCTGCAGCCCATCCATCAGTGCTGATGAACCTGGCCCCCCACGAGTGTCCTGAGCCCAGCTGCTGAGCAACGGCAGGTCTGGAGCGGGAGGCCCTCCCTGGGCCCTCGGCACCCCCCTCTTAGGTCAACAGACAGAGTGGGCTCTGTTGGCTGGGTCGGGACAGGGAAGATTAATGGAGCAGGTGCAAGCTGGGGCGGGACAATCACCTGGCCCGAGGAGGTCCCTCCTGGAGATTGAGTGCCCAACCCAGGCCAAGAACCAAACCCGATGTCATTCAGCCTGGCTCGGACTTGACTAGAGGTGAGCTGGAGCCAGCTACTCTGCCCCTGCTGCCACCCCTTCCTGGGTCTCACCTGGCCTCACCTGGCCTCATTCAGTTTCCAAGCAGGGAGCCCGACCTGTGACGCTCAGCTTTAAAATAAATGTTTTTCTTGTTTCTTCAATCTCCCAAGTAACTCACTGCAAAAAAGCATAGATTAGCAAAATGTTATAAATCACCTATTAATCTCACCACCCAGAGATAACACTGTTAACCTTTGATAGATATTATATCTCTATCTATCACTATCCATCCACACACACCCACACACACTCACACACACACATACGTACGTGAAGAAAAAGAGAGAAACCACTCTCTACTTTTTGCCCTATAATCTCCTTTTTACACCTAATATGTTATGAACATCTTTTGGTGCCAATGAAATACAGACCCACTTCATCATTTTAATTGCTACATATATTCTGAGTATTCAGGTACAGCATTATATTATATTGAACCACATATCCCCTGTTGGATATTTAAGTTGTGTCCAATTTTTGCCCTTTATAAATAATACCAAGATGAACACTTTTATATGTCTATCTTTTTATTATTTATTTCTGAAAATGTTCTAGAAGTGGAACTGTTAGGTCAGAGGGTATGTGCCTGCTGAGACTTTTGATACATATTGCTAAAGGGTTAGACCCGTGTTTATTGGAGCCTGTAGATTGTGCATCCTGCACTGGGCTGAGGGGGAGGCACAGGGGGAGGTTGGAATTGAGGCCAATCTACCATGGATAGCACTATCCAGGGGTTTGTTGTCCAGCCTTCCACCCAGGACAAGAAGTGGCCGAACAGGCAGGTGAGGGACCCCATGAGCTTGGGAATTGAGTCCCTGGGAGTGGCATGGATGTCAGGGTGGAAGAGGAGAACATCTCTGGGGAGATGAGTCAGAGAAGACTTCCCAGAGGGTGAAATTTCTGTCCACCTTGAAAGGTGAGAGGGACATGGCTATTCAGTGTGAGTATTCCAGGCAGGGCAAAGGGCTGGAGAATGAGTGGCCCACATTTTGGGGAGGATGGGAGATGGAGGCAGCCAGAGCCTGCCCTCCGCCATGGCAACCCTCCCCACCATGGTGGTTGCGTCTTCAGGAGGGTAAAGACTTGCCCCACAACCAAACCTAAGCTGATAACAGAGACCACCTCCCATACTTAGCATTGTGACCTTGAGCAACTCACTGAACCCCTCTGCCCCTCAGTTTTCCCATCTGTAAATGGGGATGAAGTTATATCACTCACACGACGGCTGTGGGGACTGAGGGAGATGTACGGGGTCGGCCTCTATAAATCGTGATTAGTCTAAGGGATTAATCATTAACAAGTAGAAGCTACTTTCTAGTTTTCTGTCCTAAAAGCCAAAGTATATCACATCTAGACTATTTTGTCTGCCTATGGGACACTGAGACGCAGCAGCTTAGTGGAGGACTCCAGGACCAGCTCCCTGGGGCCCGAGGCAAGGAGAGAAAAAGGACAATTACCGAGAGCCTACCAGGTGTTGCCACTCCACACTCCTCCTGTCATTGCATCCTTGCAACGTCCCTGAGAGGTAGGGGGTATTATTTGCTCCATTTGACAGGTGAAGAAACTGAGGCTCGGAGCATTCAGTAATGTACCTTGGTGGACACAGCTGGTGGGCAGCCAGGAATCAAGTCCAGGTCTGTCTGACCCCATAGCCCTTGAGCCTTCCCTGGGCCAGAGTGTTAGCCGAGCTGAGGTGACTTCTCAGCATCCCTTGGGATGGGAGCCTTCTGGAGTACAGCAGCGGTCCCCAGGGCTGGAGAGTGCAGAATCTGGGCTGTGGAGATGGAAGGCGGGGACTCCACAGGCTCCTCCACCCCCAGCACCACTACTGGCCTCCTCTGCATGGGGCAGCCAGCTGGTGACCCGACCTTGTGCCTCTGACAATGATTGAACCACACCGTTGGAGGGATGGGGGCAGATCTGTAAATCTGTCAGTGGAGGAGGGACTTTAACTCCAGCCTCACGGCTCAGCCGCTGGGGGGGGGCAGGAGGAAGAGGACTCTGGAGGAGGCTGGGGAACCTCCTGATTCTGCTTGCATTTCCTGCATTGGGGTCCACCATGGAACACAAGGGACCCACTGAGCCCATGCATGAAGTTCTGCGTGTCTCCTCCCACCCTGTCCAAGTCCAGCTTCCTTTAGTGTAGCTCAGGCAGCTCCGAAATATTGTCACTCCCCTCTCTTGTCCCATGTGAGCAGAGCCTGACCGGCCACAGAATATAGCAGAAATCACCCTGGCCTGGTAATCCGGAGACCTGGGTTCACATAGCAGCTTTCCCAGTGTCTGTGCAGAGGCCCCAGAGCGAGTGCTGCAGGGGCCAGCGGGCAACATGCATGCCTGGTAGTGACCGAGGTGGGACTGCGGTCACCTGGAGAGGCTACATACCCCTAAAAGGGCCAGCCACCCATTAAGTCCGGATATTCTTTCTATGCAGCAATGAAGACTTCGAATTTTGCAAGAGAAGCTGGAAATTCAGATTTGTATGTGAAATCTTTCCAATGTTAGCAACTAACTGGAAAATGAAATTCAAACACAGTGAAGCCAAACAAAATAAGTCTGAATGTAGCCTTAGGCTGGAGTCTCTGTCCAGACACAGAAACCATAGAGGCCAGAAGAGCCATGACTAGGTATTGTCTAGCATAACTCTCTTGTTTTACATAGGGAAACTGAGGCCAGCTTGGGGGAGAGACATAACTTGGATAAGGTCACCTAGTGAGTTAGTGGCCCAGCTGGGCAAGAACGCCAGGTCTCCTGCCCCCAGGGCTTGCCCTTGCCACAACTTGCCTGGCTGGGGGCCCCTAGGAGCCACTGGAGATTCTGAGCAGGGGTGAGGGGAGGAGAGCTGAGGCCCTCCCTCTCCGCCAGGCTCACCTGAGGCACCTCCAGTCCTCCGCCCCCCTGCATTCTTACTCTCCTCGTCCACCAGTGCTCCCTCTCTGTTCCACGACTCTGTGTTCAAGCCCCTGCGGTCAACTGTACAAGGCAGGTTGGGGTGGGGTCTAGCACCGCTGCTCTGTCAGGGAGGTGACTGGCAAGCCACCCACTGTGGTGTATGGTGGGGGGAGAGCCTCAATAAATACTGCTTTCTAAACCAATTCAGAAAGTAGACAAAGAAGCAAGGCAGATAGAGACCAAATACCACAATTACTGCGGATAAAGCAGATTTTGAAGAACTTGGCTCATGGCTGTGGGCAAGCGGGTTTCCTAACATGCAAACCTAGAATTAGTCAAACTTAACGACAAAGTCACCGGCAACGCTGCACCATCACCGGCCCCCCTGCAAGGGCACAACAGAAATGTGTGCTCTCTGCAGCTAGCTTACACCCGGAAAGAAGGGCTGGGACGCCGGAGCCTGACTCACCAATCGGGTAAGCCACTCACTGTTCCCTGGAGCAGACTGAGGGTGAGAGAGCAGAGAGGCGGGGTGCATTCGGCTCCTGGGGCTCCCTGCACACAGAAGCAAACACCAAGATTCCGTTGTACCTCTGCTATTGGCTTAGCAGCTGTATCTGCTATTCTCTTAGTGACTGCTCCAGGATTTACAATGTGCTTGCTTCTATCACATGTTACCGTCTGCCATCGAATAACATTATACCATTTCGTGTATAATATAAGAACCGTACAACAGGATACTTCCATTCTGCCCTTCCGTCCTTTGTACCAGTGCTGTCATAGATTTTCTACACATAGTATAGATCTCTAAATGTAGCATTTTTTGTTTTTATACAGTCAATCATCTTTTAAAAAATATTTTCTATTTACCCATATATTTATCAATTTTTGATCTCTTCATTCCTTGGTGTAGATCCTAGTTTCTACCTGGTGGCATTTGCCTTCTCCTGAAGAATTTCCTATAACATTTCTTATCGAGCAGATCTGCTGGCAACAAATTCTATCACCTTTAATTTGTAAGAAAAAAAATCTTCATTTCGTCTTCATTTTTGAAAGATATTTTCCCTGGGAAGAGAATTCTACACTAACAGTATTTTTCCTTTCAGCATTTTAAAGATGTAGTTTCACTGTCTTCCACCTCACACAGTTTCTGATGAGAAGTCTGTGTAACTGTTATCTTTGTTTCTGGGTGCATAATTTTTGGGTTTTTTTGTAATTTCTCTTACTGCTTTCAAGATTTTGTCTTTATCATTGGTTTTCGGCAATTTGATTGTAAAGCTCCTTGGTGTGATTTTACTTGTGTTTATATCCTGCTTAGGGTTCATTGAGCTTCTTTGGTCTGTGGATTTATAGTTTTCACCAAATTTGGAAAGTTTCTGCTCCTTATTTCTTCAAATGTTTTTTCCATCTCCACTCTCTCCTTCTGGGACTACAGTTTCATGTATGTACTACTTAATATTGCCCCACAGGTTACTGAGGCTCTCTTGACTTCTTTCTCTCTTTGCTTCATTTTGGACAGTTTCTAAGGCTATGTCTTCAAGTTCAATGACCTTTTCTTCTGCTGTATCTAATTAGCTGTTCATCCTATCCAGTGAAATTTTCATTTCAAATAGTGTATTTTTCATCTCTAGGAGTTCCATTTGGGTCTTTGTATCATCCATTTCCTTCCTCATTATGTTTATGTTTTACTCTAAATCATTGAACATAATAAGTATATTTGTAAGTTATTTTAGTGTACTTGAATACTAATTCCATCATCTCTGTCATTTCTGAATGTATTTCCATTGGTTTACTTTTCTGCTAGTTATGGGTAACATTTTTCAGCTTCTTTGCATTTCCATTCATTTCTGATTAAATGCTGCACAATGTATATTTATGTTGTTGAGTACTGGATTTTGTTGTAGTCCATTAAAGAGGGTTGGACTTTGCTCTGGCACTCCATTAAAAGAGCAGGATGACCTTTTAGAGGCTTGTTTTTAGCTTCTTAAAGGGTCATGAAATATGACCCTTCTGGGATCTCTCATCAAATATATAGATACCTCATATATTCAACAGTCTTTCCATCCTGACACATAGGAACTCAAATGATTTCCCACCCTGTGTGAGCTCCAAGGATTTTTTGTCTTGCAGCTTCCTATAATTGTCTTTTCCCTAATGTTGTTTTTTGACCAGCCTCATGGCATTCACTTGCCACATGCACAAATTTGTATTCAGTCCAAGACTCA